TAACGCCATGTTAACAGCGCCCCACAGATGACCTTCGGGAGAGTTTGGTTTGGTGTCTTAATTCTAGTGAGACTCATGCACTGGTGCATTTATACCTGGGCTCCAAGCAGGGCTGAAATAGTAGTGTGCTGATGTTTTACTCAACAAAGAAAATGATCAGTGAAATACACCTTTAAATAGACTACTATCCTGTTTGTAAAAGGGAATCATAAGCAGGTAGAAACAAAACTGAACCTTTACTGTTTGGGTACCAAAATGTGATTGTTTTCTCCATGAATGATCTGGTGCCAAATAACTGAGAAAAAAAAAAAAGTATGTGAGAGAGACTGAGATTACATTTTAGTCATTTTCCTTAAGAAAGAGAAATTTAGTAGCTTTATGTTTTATTAGTTAGCAGCTTTGAACATATTTCATCTACTAAAAGAAAGGTTACTGATTTGACATAAATATTAAAGAATAGGACCCAATTCTCAAGACATTTTTTCTTTTATTTAAAATGTTAATTATCACAACACATTGTACAATAAAATAAAGACCTTAGAATCACATTAGAACTTTGAAAACATCTCTGTATAGTCACAAAACATGAAACATGCTGCAGGGATACAAACACAGTTTGATACCAAATCTCAGTGCATTTTCACCATGAAAACAAATGGAGAAGCATGGACTGTCTGTGAGTTTCCTTTCCCTAGCAGTAGCTGACGTGACTGCTTCCAAGAAACAAAAATGATCTCTGTCTTTGGAGACTCTATCATTGATAGCTTTTTACAACTTCATTGAACACTGTGCTTTGTTGAGAAATTACCACTGATTTATACTTCTCAGGGGGTTGTCTTATTAGAATTATAACACATTTTCACAACACATATTGGCACAATATGAAAAATAAATACTTTTTGAGTTTTCAACTCATAACAATTCATATTAAATAAATAATTATTCTTCATAGTGCATGTCTCATTTTACCTTTCATTGGCCACTGACACAAATGAAGCTCAATAAATAACACGTTGGGTAGTTCATTTACGTCTTCTTTCATAATTCTGCATTGCACTCCGTTCGTAAGCCACTGAGAACAAAGAGAAGGAAAAGGGTTTTTTTTGTTTTTTTAAAGAGGATTCACGGACACAGTTAAACAAATAAAGTTCAAAGCATATAGTAATTTAAACTTATAATACATTTTTCCTTTCATTGAAGTATTTGTGAAGGGTTTTATTTGCACATGTTCCAGTCGTACCTCAGTCTCTATCCTGATTAGAAGTGATCTAACCACAGAATTCTTGGTTATTTTGGTCTTGCATCATATACTTGGTGCCCCCAAAGCGCATTTCCACAATATATTGCAATGTTGGTTCTCAAGGGCTTCCTCAAGCAGTGGCAGACACCCATGGTGATTTATTCAGAGTAACCAGGAATACTAGTAGGATAAAAGCAAAATGTGGGAAGTTTTTCTAGGATAGAGTCAACAAACTACAGGCTAGGGGCCAAATCCAGCTTGACATCTTTTGTTGTAGGTAACATTTTACAGGAACATGGTCAGACCCATTTGTTTATGTATTGTTTATGCCTACTTTAACATTAAAATGGCAGATGTGAGTAGTTGCTACAGAGACCTCAATGTGCTCATAGTCTAAAATATTTGCTATCTGGCTCTTTACAGAAATAAAAAGTTTGCTGATTCCTGTTATGGGGTACCTAATGGTGTGAAGGTCTCTTCCTGTCTTGTGGATTCCTCTTAATGGATTATCCTTGAGTCTAAGAACAATCTCATTGTCTGCAGGTAGGGCAATTGTGCCATTAAATACAACATAGTTTAACTTACCTCCTAGCACGTTGATGGCTTGTGAAAGTTTAATCACTGCTTCCAAAGGTATTTAATATATAGCTAGCAAGTATTTTAAGTACTTTGACTATCTGGACCAAAAAAGTGCCAAAATTATATAATTATATTAAATATAATTTCAAAGGGATCTATAACCACAAAAGGGCAAGGATCAGACTGTTGTGATCAAAATACTTCAGTATATGTTTCATCATTTTAGCTAATACTTTATGTACTTAAATTTACATTACAGTAAATACTGTGCTTTTAAAAATTCAGTATATGTGTATTTTAATAGAAATAGTAGAAAGAATTGTGAAAGACATGTGGGAATCATAGGTGCCCCCCTTAACAAGTTTCTCAGAAGGATTTGTTGAAAGAGAAAGTAGGTGAAGGCACCAATGTACCACTTTCCCCTTTTACACTGAGCAGATGATCCAGCATTCCTGTAAGTGAGGTTATCACTAAGCTGAATGCTTTGTGTCAGTCATGTACAGGCTTCTGGGGTGGAACAGTCTGGGCCCCAGTCTGGGCTGTTCTGGGGAAGGAAACAGTCCATGTCTCACCTTGGTTTGTTTGTATCAGGAGAGGATGACTAGCCCAAGTTCAGTACCTGACAAGTGTTCGGGAACAGGATTCTGTTCCTCAGAGAAGTGAGGCGAATGCTAATGTAAACTAACCAAAGCCAGATTAGTGACTGAGTGAGAATGTAATGTCCTCTTAACTGGAAGCGGAGTTTCTTACCTGGTCCTTGAGCTCTCTAAAATAATACGTAAATGTGTCTGTGTATGACCTGAGGAGAGTTTCTCTGGGGGGAGGGTTTCTAGATTTCTCAGACAGTCGAAGGGGTCTGGGACCACAAAAGGGCAAGGGTCAGATGGCTTTAGAAGATGACTCTGATAACCTTGCCTCAGCTGGTCATGAAAAGATGTCTGATGGAGTGTAGATTACAGGGTTGCCCATTTTTTTCCTTTTATATTTTCTTAACTAAAATGGAGGAACAAAGATTTAGTCATAAATTGATTTCAATTTACAGTCAATTCTACTTATAATGATAATTATAAAGTACATTTAATAGCATCTAATCTGTTCTAAATTGCACAGTACTTATATCACTTGTAAAGTTAAGCATATTCTGAAACCTGTATCAATCCTGAAAATGGAAAGTTGATAGCTGGTATGATTATCCAGAAAGCCACAGGTATATAAGGGTTAGTGTACCCTTCTGATACAAGTAAAGTGTGATTTATATTTATATTCCATTTCCAAAAGCTGAAAAATAATGCATATTGGTACAACGATTTTAGTTATTCATTAGATTACTGGTAGCTTCTTTAAAATTTAAACCTGTGAAGCCTTCAAATTACTGATGAAGAAATACAAATGTAGTATCTACATCTGGAAGGCAGAGAACCAATATAAATACTAGGATACATCATTTTTGCATGACTTTTTCAGATTAATTAATTTCAGCACATCTTACAGATTTTCTAGAAACTTGAAATAGTCTAAGTGGGTAAGACAGGTGATGATTACTTTCTAATTAATTACATGAACAGTATTTTAATTCTAATTTCACTGAAGGTAAAATAAAGAGAATTTGAACAGCTTTCCCAAGTAAACTAAACCAAGGACTGTAATGCCTGAATATGCTTAACGAAATATTGGACGCTATGAAAATGATACAGGGGTTATTTAACCATGAAAATACTGTGATGAACAAGTTAAGAAGAGTCTTCAGATACATGTGGCATTTACATAGAAGGTAGAAACTAAAGACAAGAATTAGGCGGCCTTTACATCAAGTGAAAGAGTTGCTCAGAATTAAAATGGATTAGGAGTGGAATTGTGGCACTCCTTCTGTGTAAGAGTTTTATAGCCAGAACTGATTATAACCCTCCCAGGTGATCTGACTGTGTTCCTTTTTGAAGGCACTTAAATGGACCATTATTGTTCTCATAGTCTTAAACCTTTATCAGGATGTTTAGGGTTTAAACCTCTATAACTTCATAAAAAAGCAAGTGATTTGTACAAATGGATTTGTTTGTTTGTTTATTTAGTTTATGTGTGTGTATTGGAAGACTGTCCGATTTAACCTCTTATAAGACTTTTTGATTACTTTGGTAACAAGTGAAAATCAGGCTTATTCCCAGCAACCCTTGTCCCCCCTTAGTTCAGCAAGGTTAAACGTGGCTTATCAAACAGATACAAGGGAAGGGGTATTAGACTAGTCCAAAGATTCAGGTTAGGTAATGATTAAATGGGGCAGACATTGGGAATTTGAGAAAGATAGATTGATATTGTGCTAATATTAGCTTAATCACCTATCAATCCATTGTTGGATTTATTTATTGCAGTTCAATTTTTTCCACCATGAATACTCATTTTAATTTTATTATTCCTGTTTAATACTTTGAAACTATACCATAAAAAGTAGAAGTAAATTTAAGATACTGTTTATTTTCAGTCATGGTTTTATACATACCAGAATTTAAAGCTCTTTTGCCCATTAGTCCAACAAAGGAATCTGTTTTATGCCCTGGAAAAATACATTTAGGGGTATTTAATATGTACATCTTTGAGGAAATAAACTGTTATAACTAGTAGCAAAAAAAATGCAAGCTTCCAAATATATGCCTATATAATAAATATAGAACTATTTCAAGTTTTGGTGAGTCCAAAGAAATAAAGATTCCTAATTAAGTCCTATAAATGACACTAAATAAAATAATACAATAAAAGCACTTTTCCCAATTTTTAATCTAAATATTAGCAAGTGTACTTTATTCATATTATATTTTATCTGTTCATACATAGTGTTTTAAATATTGTTGCTATTTGAGCTAGCTTTAATTTTTAGTGGATCAATTTCACTTTTGTGTGACAGAAATATCAAAACTTCTTTCCACATATTACTGAATATGTTGTATTTCTCCAGAACTAAACTTGAGTTAAACTTCTGAAGGTCACTGTTTCTATTTTATTGTATTTAAAAAAATACTTCTTTTGGAAAAAGTATGTTGCTTTTGACATTAATAGAGTACATTTATTTTTTTTACATTGAGTTTTGCTATATATAATTCCTCTGAGAATCAAATCCTTCGAAAGTAAATAGGAATAAGGTTTATTTTCAAAGATAAAGCCTTTGGAAAAGATTATTTTAACTCTAGTGGGAGAATGTCTCTTGGTTTATACTGTATTAGTTGAGAACATGGCTGTTATCTTAGTGTGGCCTACTCTGCCCTCAGTGAACCAAAATCTTAAGTTAGGATAACTGAGTGGACCTTAGGGTAGATGAGTGTGATTAAGATGAACTCTGGGACTTCTTGTCACCTCTGGTTCCATTAACGGGGAAACTAGGATCTAATGATGACTGTGAAGTGTCACAAGTCTGCCATCATCGCTGCCCTAAGAAATGTTTCACTGTGCTTTATGGGGTCAAAAAACTATACTTCTGTCTCTCTTTACCTTTAGTATGAATTCTGTACTCAGACATTCACTCCATCCCCTTAACTGGCTGCTGGATTACTTTAATAATGATGTTGTTATGAATTCAGTATACTAAAATGAGCTAGGAGATGCCTATAATTTGTTGGGTTTTTGTTTTTGCTGTGAAAGTGGTAGGGTGGGGATGAGGGGAGAGGAATGTGTGGTGGATTTTTACCCCTAGGATTGAAATTCTTATCTAAAACTAACAATTCATAGGAGTTAAAGGACTTTCTTTCTTTCTTAGCAGCTTAAAACAACAATAGATATCTCAGTTTTTGTGGGTAAGACATTCAGCAACAGTTCAGCTAAGAGTTAGGATTTTTAATATAATGCATTGTTTTGGTAAGTGTGATATGTTTAAACAACAGAGCTTTAAACAGTCATGTTCTGGATGTAATATGAGTCTCCTCCATTCCTATACTCTCTTAATTAACAATATTAAATCCTAAGTTACAACAGAAAATAAGATATTATTTAAAGTGGAATTCAATCTAATTTACATTTGCATTTGATAAATGTCAAAATAATTTGGAACTTACTTTTATGAGAGATCTGGCCAAGTCCTATAGAAAGGAAGATAAAATTAGCAAACACAATAGATTTGTCTTAAAGGAGCTACATTATATCTTTTAAAGAGAATTATAAAATAGATGGAGTTTTAAAATAGTGTAACATTTCCCATTCATGTGCTCTCCTGAGGAATATAGCAGAACCATAAATGCTCACCAAATTATTACTAATAAAAACAAAATATCTTAACAAGCAAAAGGAATATTTTTAAGTGATTTATATGGGCCACAGATTCAAGCCCAAGACTGTGAGACTCCTGAGGCCTGTTAATAACTGCCTGGCCATCCATCTCTCCATTTTCTTACAAGAGACAGATGTTCAAGACTGGTCACAATTTGATGCTCAGGAGAGAGAGATGCAAATCCATCTCTTCCTTCAACAGGCATTATTAAGAATATGTGTTTCAGCCTGTAAAAGCCTTTCTTCATTTTCATACATGTGCATTCACAATAGTAAAATAAGATTCATAGAAATGTTTACCATAAAGAGCCTTTAACAGAGCCACTTGTTTTTCAACTGAGGAATCTGACAAAAGACGAATTGACATTAACTATTTACACGTTCTACTGATAGTGTGATGAATTCAAAGAAATTTATTTGTTTCAGGAGACACGGGGCAGCTAAATCTAACCTAACCCCAGGGGTCTAAAATCGTTTCCACATGCACTGAGAACTCCGAGTACTACCCACTGGAGCCCCATGCCTTCCTCTTCTTTGTCAGTTTGTATCTTTAATCAAGGGAGCTAAGGTGTTCCAGTTCTTGGTGGTTCGGCCGGATCGATCTCTCCCTCCCTCCGCGGGCCTGTATGAGGGCCAGAGTCTCGCACTGGGGAGATACACTCCTTTGGAGGTGGAAATTTCTGCTCAAAGAGCAAGAGAGACTGGGTGTTCTAAGAATGATCTAGAAGACAGGGCAGGTTGCCCTGACAGAGAGGGATGACTGCCCATCTCACCGGCATCCCGTTTGCCCATTAATCCGAAGAACTGCTGAGGCTTGGGTCTCCGGGCGATTCTCTGCAGAAGATGCTCAAAGGGCTCGGGCAGCTCCTCCTGGAGGACAGACGCACAGACAAACGGCGTGTAGGCAACCAGTGCGAGGCGCCCGGAAACCCGAGTCTTTCTTGTGATGCGCTCCAGCCTTGGGCAAACCTCAGCGGTGGGGCCCCGCCGGGCCAAAGCTGGAAAGCCATCTCCGAGGCGAAAGGTGGCCCAGCTTCCCCACGCCGGGGCTGAGTGGGGTGAATCTCTGGATGCTCCCTCTCTCCACCCGTTCCCACCGAATTCGTGTCCAGCGTCGCCGCCTCCCTTAAGCCCTGCTCTTGGAAGTTAACAGGAACCACAGCGTCTCCAAGCCTTGCACGCTTTCCGCTCTTTCCTCCCAGCTCGGGGACCCTCACATATCTGCCCTCAGCCACCTGACTTTGTCTCCTCTCTGGCGCCGGCTTTGGATACCTCTTACAGCCCTAGATGCACACAGGTGTGTGTGTGTGTGTGTAGAGGGGGTTCTGAGGGGAACAGGTCGTGGGGAGGTGGGAGGTAGGGAAGGTGACAGCGCTTTACAAGCGACCTGCACTGCGCGACTTACACTGTTCCCGCGGGGCGCACTCCCTTGGACGAATAGACTGCGAACCTTCTAAATGAAAACTTACGCCTGCATCCTCAGATCGTAAAATAAAAGTCAAGACAGGAAGTTAGCTTCCTACCCACCTGCGCCCCTCCAAACCCCCACTTATCCCCGCTTTGCCTGCGTTGGGCGCTCACTTCTCCGCCTCTGGCCAGCGTTTCCAAACGCCAGGTCCTTAGCGTTGGACTGGAGTCCCCGAAATCTGCGTTACCGGGGGATGAAACCTTGTGAGGTTTCCAGTCTTGTGAGGATCCTGGGATCATCAGGGAGGGTTTTACTCCTCCAGAGGATTCTCCAGACCCGACGAAACAGCTCTAGGGAGAAAACTTGATTCGTGGGTGCAGAATCTCGTGCAGGACTCAGGGGATGGCATACCTTTACAACACTCCCTGCGCGCCTCCACCGCCTCTGGTTGTGGTCTCCGTGCCCGCTAGGGTAATCAGGGTGCTATCGCGGGGAGGATAGTGACGACTCTTAAGGTCAGGAAGAACAGCGTGGGCCATATTGGGACCGGGTCTCACCTTGATCTGGTCGCTATCGGACCAGTCCGACCAATAATTCAGATCATCATTGGCTCCGACTTCTTCTGCAAACAGTTGAGTGGAGACGAGAAAAAAGACTGCCAAGGCCACGAGGATTTTCATGTTGGATTTCTGGAAAGAGTGAGGAGAAGAGCCAGAGGAGAGAAAAAAATATATTTATTGGCGGTGGCTATCCAGCAGTTGAGGCAGCAGAATTTTTGGTCCGACTACAGAACTCAGGACCGAGTGATATAAGATAACCACCTAAAAGCTAACGCCTGCCTGCACCCTTTAGGAAAGAGAATCAAGCCACAGAGCTTCTCACATCCCCGTCTTCCTAGATCCCAACTCCCCCAACCCCCAATCCACCAATCCATACCTTCAAGCCAGGAGGCTGCGGATGGAAGACAAAGAGGAACACAGGCATTTAGGATACCCGTCTCCACGCAGTCCCCCACGCCGTCCCTTCGCTGTCTCCCCACTGTCCCCCGCCACAGCAGCCCATCCTGCCCTGCTAGACGCCACTTCGGAGCGGCGCTGGACGCGAAGGCCCGCCTGGCAGGGCGCAGGCACTTACAGCGGCTGGCCCGCCCCTGGGGTTCCTCCGGCAGGTCTGAGCGCTCGCGGGGCGCTCCGCACTCCCGGTCGCCGCAGCGGTGGAGGAGGTCAGCAGCGCGCTCTTTTGCCTGCTGGCTGCCGCGGTATTTATCCCAGGTTCGCTCAGCCTTGAGACCCACGTGACTTTCTGCTCAGTATTTAATTAGCCGCCTCCTCTCCTTTCGCTTGCGTCTGATTGAGAGTTTCCGAGACGGTAATCCGTCGGTGCGATTAACATCTGGACCCAATTGGGCTCGAAATGACGCAATTTTAGGAAAATCGAGATCTCGCCATCCAATCCTGAGGGGGCTGTCTTCTTCCGTCTGCATATCTGACGCCCCCTCCTCTCTTTCTTCCCAGCGGGGTTCCACGACACCTTAGATTACTCATCAAAATTGAGCAAAGTGAGTCATTACTCGGACTTTCGGCAACTTTTATGTCCCCCGAGATAAGGGATAAGTTGCACTTATAAGGATGGCCAGATAATTAAAAAATGATTCTTCACCACAATATATTTTTTTCTATAAAAGAGCCCGTTCATGTTAAAAAAAAACAAGATTTAGAAATAAACATTAAGAGGCTAGCATGCAACATTTAAAAAAGACAGATATTTAAACAATACCTATTTATTCCTTGTTTTAAAAAATGAGGACATTAGTAGCCTTACATTTCCTCTCAGTTCCCTTACAAGCCACGTTCCATTTTTTGTGTTATATTATTATTTCACCATTATTCACATTTATGACATTCACATATAGTTTTGCTATCATACTTTCATTATTTGTCTACTATTCATTCTATATTTAAATGGATTCATGTTCACCACCAGTCCTTTTAATCAAGCTTGGCCATTCTTGAGTTTATTTTCAATCATCTATTGTTTGGCTGGATGTTACTGTCAAACACATTTTTCTTCCTGAAGAGGAAATCATACATACTGAATTCCCTAAGTTCTTTCATGTTAGTGAATGTCTCTCAGTGGTTCCTATGCTAGAAGGACATCTTGCATAGTTACAGTATTTTAAAATTAAATTTCATTTTGCTCAGGACTTTATGGACATTGCTTCATTGCTTGTAGAATTGAGTGCTGTGGAGAATTCTGAGATGGGATAGTTTTTTTCTCCTGCTTGGAAGTGATTTGCTGTTTTGCTTCAATATTTGAGGAAGGGTTTCTTTATCCCTGAAAATCAATAGTTCAGTTAAAATATGCCTTATTGTTGTTCATCCTACACTTAATTTTCTTGGGGTGTTGTGAACTGTTTTTGCTTTGCAGGTTATTCTCTCTTTTCATTTTGGAGAAATTCTATTCTCTTATGTTTTTTTTTAATAGATCTTTGAAATGGAAATTCTACTTCAAGATATTATGGCCTTTTTCTTTGGATCATAATATATTTTATTTTATATATATATATAAGATTGAAATGCATGTATCTCATGTCAATAATATTCTTCCGAATTGCCTTAATTCTTTTCCCTTTTCATCTGCATTTACTTTGATTATCTTAACTTTTCCACTTTGTGTCAGTAATTGATTTTGGTGTCAGTAGTTCACCTTGCTGTGTCTAAATTACTTGTTATTTCCATAATCATATTGCAGAGTCCCCAGTTTGTTCTCATGGACTAGTAATTTCCTTTTTTATCTCGTTTAGTTGTTTCATTATTTTCTTGATATTATTTTATTGAATTTATGTTCTATTAAGATGTTCTTGGTATAAAGTAATTGAGGGAGTTTCCTTTTAGTTCCTGAGTTATTTTTTCCTTCTAGTTCAGTGGCAAGGTGCATGAATTTTGAGCAAGTGTTAAAATACTGGCGTAGCTACTTGCTAACCATGTGGCCTTGGACAAACTACTTAAGTACTCTCTGCCTCCATTTTCTAATCTGTCAAATAGGATAATAGATAGTACTTACCTCATAAGGTTGCTGTGACAGTTAAATGAGTAAATACATGTGAAGGGTAAAGAACAGTGCTTAGCACATGCAATGAACAGTTAACTATTATTATTATTCTAAGTGGTTCTCTGTGTGTGTGTGTGTCTATGGTTAATTTTATGTGTCAACTTGGCTAGGCTAGGTTGTCCAGTTGTTTGGTCAAGCACCAGTCTAGATGTTGCCATGAAGATATTTTTTTTAGGTGTGATTAACATTTGAATCATCAGACTTTGGATAAAGCCATTATTCTATATTAAATGGGTAGACTTCATCCAATCAGTTGAAGGTTTTAAGAGAAAAAGACTTAAGGAAGCAGGAGTTCAGCCTCTGGACTGCCTTTGGACTTAAGACATCAACTTCTTGCTGAATTTCCAGCCTTCCAGGCTGCCCTCTGGGTTCCAGATTTGCCATTTCTGTAATCATGTGAGCTAATTCCTTAAAACCCTTAAATGATCCCTTAAAAATCTCTCTCTTCTCTTTCCTTCTCCACACACATGCACACAAACACATATCCCATTGGTGCTGTTTCTCTGGAGAATCCAGAACAGTATGTACTATATGTGCACAGCCCTGGACCACTCTCTCCATCCTGATGTCGCTTAGGTGGCTCTGGGCAAACAGAGTAGGAGTGACTATTTAACTCTATTCCTATAATATTGGAGATTTTTTTCCCTCTGAGGGCCAAGAATTTTGCCTTCCATTCCCTTTTCTTAGCCTGAGGGAATGGCAGGGGAGGTGGCGCTTGGATGAGGTGTGGTATTGTCTGAATACCTAGTTTCTGCCCTTAAGATTTTGCCCAGTGTCTTGTTCCATGTCAGTTCCCTGGCTGGAGGGTCTGTTCCTTTCTTGCAAGGGACCCCAATGGACTTTGATTCCTGTGGGCCTGACAGCTTCCTTCCACTTCCCTTAAAGTGTCAGCTCTGTTTGTTGTTCTCTTCCCTACAGCCACCAGTTTCTCTCCACCACTTGTATCCCTTACATCTTGGAAGAAAATCAGTTTTCTTCTGTCCCCTCAGTTTTCTTCTCTCCCCTCAGTTTTCTTCTCTCCATGTGTAACATCATTGAGAATTCTCAGAATTTTGTCAATTTCCAAGTAAAACTTTTAGACGCTGATGGCAAGGTTGGGAAGGCAGGAGCTCTGCTGAGCCAGGCAGTGGTGGACCTCTCTGCTTTGCTCCAGATTTTTGTTTCTTTCATTGGCTACAGGTTCTTTAATATTAGTGCTCTAATTAGATTGTGACTCTTGATTGGTTTGGTTGCTGATTGTGGATTTTAATTTTTTTCTGGGACTAATCATTTTTACTTCATCTTGTAGGTGTCAGAGAAAGCCTCGAACAGTACTAGGTTCATGTTATCTGACTAGCAAATGTGTGTAGAATTGTTGGATATCATCCATACCACATGGATGCATTAATTCTTTACTGTTTTGTTGCCCCAGACTCCTGAACTTTAGAAAATCTTCTGGACACGGCTATTGCTGCAAATATGACATTGTAAGAATATATTGTCTGCAGGTTAAGTCCCTTCTCTCTTCCCTGACATGTTGGCTAACCTATTATATGTTATTTACCTGGAAATCTTGCTGCTATGATCAGTTCTTTTTTTCTTACTGCCTCATGGAAACTCTAACATGCTTTATTAATTTTTAACACATTGTGTCAGTCACTCTTGTAAATCCTTCCAGTCTCCATTATTCCCAGGCCCTGAGTTATTAAGCATTTGTTACTGCCTGGAAGAGACACCACTCTAGAGGCAAAGGTAGGGTTCCAAGTTTCCGTACCACCTGAGGTAGGCAAGAGGGGATTTTAAGCAATTCCACTCAAAACCAGATAATATATCATGGTTTCATCAGGGGATACTAATCCCTTGTGTCTAAATTGAATTCCTTCTGTGTTTCATGATGCTGCCTCTTCAAGAGTTGAGTTGTTGTGTTGCTGTCCCTTTGGCCAGTGAGCCACTTCTTGTGGGAAACTGATTTTAGTTCTTGGTAAAGTCAGAAGTGGGCACTGGGAAAAGGTTACAATATTTCAATCTTCCAACCTTCTGCACATGCCACAGAAAGAATTGAAGCAATAAACATTTATTTAATGTTTGCTGTTTTCCAAGTAAATATGGCATTGGGGATAGAGAGATGAATGAGTCACAGTTTTTGCCCCAGCAAGGCTCAAGGAAGTCGGAGGGGGCAGGACATATAACAGATGCTACAACAGAGGAGTGAACATTGTATTAAGGGAGCATGGAATGAAATTTCCCTAGATGGGAGTGGGTAGGACAGAAGGCACTCCAGGGAGAGGGAACAGCTTAAGCAAAGGCAGAGAGGTAAGGATATGCACTGGATAGCCATTGGAGAAGCCAGAATCAAGATGGCCAATGTTGGCGGAGGCAGGGACTGGGAGAGGTAAAATAAGATGAAGTCAACTGACATCAACTCTGTTCAGTCTAAACATCAACAAATTCTGTTAGCGAGCAAAGATCACTTGCTCTGGGAGAAGAGTAAAACTTACAGCTGTTGTTTTTCATCTTATAAACTCCTAGTCCCTGGTGGCTTCTTGAATCAAAAGATTAGGAGTGTGGCTTCTTTTGAACTACTTAAAGATAGTCAAGGATATCAGTTTTTAAAAGTATTTAACACGTGTGTTTTCCTTCCATTGCTTCTGGGTGCTATTAAGAAATTCACATTGTATGTACTTGCCAAAAGACTGAAAGTAATCTCCTTATTCAACATGACTCTGCAATGTTAAAATAATAAGGCAGACTAGTAAGTCTCCTGAAAATACTCCTAATCAGATATCAGTTTTGCTAAACTGGATCGTTAAAGGTCAAAAATTCAATTAAAATTAGGTATAGTCAGCCCAATTGTCTTAGCAAAATGGCCAGTTTGTAACACGTGATGGAAACACTAGTTTAAAATCAGGAAATAAATCATTTTGGACTAGATTAATAATGAGAATGTCCACATTTAGATCACCAGGGACCCTAAAACAGGGAAGTATATTTTTAAAAGTCAAACTGAGAATACCGGTTGGGGAGCCATACTTTATTTCTTTCCTCCTCTAGGTAGTACTTTAATAGTTAATGTGTCCAACTTTGAACTTGGAAATGTATGGTGTACACTGGAGCCTGTCCTTGCTGGCTACCCCAGTCCTGGGACACCTTGCCATGTGGCATCCATGGTCACTCTGCTGCACTGCTGCCATAAATGTCTCTCCCAAATGGGCTGCGAACTCAGGTTGTCTGGTTCCAGAGCCCATGCCACTAGCTTCTGCACTGTGTTGTCTGTGCTGC